GCAGTAGTTCACAAAATGTCATCCTTATCCAGTATCAGTGTTACAGCCTGGGATCTGCACAGAAATGAAACTTCCCAGGTGGCCAGCCACCCATGGGACCTGCAAAGGCTCTGTTACCTAAGAATTCTATCCTTAAAAAGGGAACAAAATCCAAATTAAGTATTTTCATGGTTCTCACTAGTCACAACAGGGTAGGCTTCTAGCCAGCATACTCATACCTTTCCTCATAGTGGAGCACTGGTTTCCTAAGGGTGGTCCTTGAGCAGCACCCCCTATGCATTTGTTAAAGTTGCAATTTCTCAGCACAACCTATCTTCACCGACATAATAGCAAATTGAATTTGAGGTAGGGACACCAATCTAAATTTATTGAGTCTTTCATGAAACCCAATGCCTGTCAAAATGTGAAAATAATAATCCCTAAACCACTGCTATTTATTAAATCCTTGAAAATGATTTCTTCATCATTTTCAAGGAGAAAATTGAAAAACAATTGAGGTTGGCATGGTGTTTGGGAATCCTAGGCAGTTGGATCACATGAGATCAGGAGTTCAAGACCAGCCTTGCCAACCTGGTGAAATCCCATCACTACTAAAAATACAAAAATTAGCCAGGCATAGTGGTGGGTGCCTATAGTCCCAGCTACTCAGGAGGCTGAGGCAGGAAAATGGCTTGAGCCCAGTGGGCAGAGGTTGCAATGAGCCAAGATCGCACCACTGCACTCCTCCAGCCTTGGCGACAGAATAAGTCTCTGTCTCAAAAAAACAAAAACAAAAACAAAACAAAAAACAATTGAAACAAAGTTTTTCAGTCATGGATTGTGATAAATTGAAGTGAGGTGATATCAGGACAATAGCTGTTTTCAAGCTCCCTAGCAAATCCAGTGTGCATTAAATTCGGAAACATTGCCATAGACCCAGCTTGCCCAACTATACTGAATGCACTGGGAAAAGTCCTTGCCTTTCCAGAAATCTCAGGAAAAGACCTCCCACAGATATAACATGGGATATATGTCATTCCAAGTACAAGCACTTTCCCAAAGAGGACCGATTGATGCATATCCATGGCATAAAAATGACTGTCAATTCCAAGTAAAATAATTTTAATGAAATTTGGGATGAGGCTTTTTTAAAAGGAGAAATAGAAAATTTTAGATGTGAAGAGTGAACAAAACATGTTCCACTTATAGGTAGAAAAATATTTTTTGCCATGTTTTATTAACATTATCTAGGTAAACTGTTTTCTGCTTTTAATTTCAAGGCTTATCATGGTTGCATTCATCTTTTTTTCTCTCATTTATGATGGAGAATCCCAAATTTATTTTCAATAATTTTTAAATCCATACAAATAATTATTCTACACTCTCATTTAAATGGCTTAAACATGAAGAATGATAAATTATTTTATAACTTGAGTTGCAACATTTTTATCACTCTGTGTATGTATACACACACATACACATATATACACAGAGAAAGAGAGAGAGAGAGAGAGAGAGAAAGAGAGACAGAGAGAGAAAGACAAAGTCTTGCTCTGTCACCCAGCTGGAGAGCAGAGGCATGATCATAGCTCACTGCAGCCTTAACCTCCCAAGCTCAAGAGATCCTCCCACCTCAGCCTGCCAAGTAGCTAGGACTACAGGCATATGTTACCACACCTAGCTAATGTTTTAAAAATGTTTTTGTAGAGATGCATTTTTGGCCATGTTGCCCAGGCTGGCCTCAAACTCTTGACTTCAAGCAATCCTCCTGCCTTGGCATCCCAAAATGCTGGGATTATAGGCATAAGCCACTGTGCCCAGCCCATACCAAATATTTGAAATCTTTCCTAGTATTTCAAGTCACTTTAAGTAGTCAAATTAAGAAATATTGGAAAATAATGAAAGATGCTATGTGCAGTGGATTGGGCCTGTAGGCCCACCTGCTCAGGTGGCTAAGGCAGGTGGATGGCTTGAGCCCAGGAGTTGGAGGCCAGCCTGGGCAACACAGCAAGATCTCATCTCTACATTTAAAAAATAAAATAAAATAAAATTGATTTTTAAAAAAATTGAAGATAACTATGTTGTAGATATAAACAAAATTATAAGGACATGTATTTGATATCAATACCAGGCAACCTGTAGTTATATAAAATAACACAAATAGTTTATATAATTTTTAAAAAATTAAATATTTCTAACAAATTATTTCATAACATAGATATTTAAGAAAATATGTACGATAAAATGTTGTATATGTAAAATATAATGTAAAGGGCTCTAACTCAATAGGCCAGGGTTGTTCAAAGCCTGGATCCTGCCAAGGTTGAAAACTGTCCCCTGGCCAGAAACTGGCAGATCACCTCTGAGTCCATAGAATATCTTGTTGAATCACAATGTCTTTGTATACCTGAGCCTGTGGTTATAGAAGGTAACTGATGCTAACAATGAGATATAGGGAGAATATTTACTTTTGAATGATGGGAGCTGTGTACAAGCAATGTCAGTTTCACTTCTGGATGTACTGAAAAATAAGAAGCCAATGTCAGTAATATGGATAATCCCCTGTTTACATGACCAAGAATTGGGTAGCTACCTGGCTGGCAATACTTTGTACATGTGTCACTGACGGAATTAAACACAGTGCATATGACTCCACTGGAAAAGGATGGCTGGAAGATTCAGCCTGGTTTCTCCTGAATTCCTCCCTATCCTGCTTTTTCACTGGCTATTTTACATCTGTGTTCTTCTACTGTTATATACTGTAAGCATTAGTAGAGAGGCTTTTAGGAGTTCTGTTGAGATCATCTAAGAAATCACTGAACCTGAGGCTGGCCTTGAGGTATCCCAACAAGCTCATGAATAAATCATGTGCCATATGGACATGTTTTACTTAACTCTAATAACATGAGAATTACTAAGTTAGTGTCTAGGAGTTCTCACGTCAACTCCCTGAGTGTGTTGTCTTGAATCCTGAAATGAATCTGCTGTGGTAGCATTGAGCCCTTGCTCTTTTTAAAACATACCACAGTTCTCCTCACAAAGAATAAAACTTTTGTTTCCACACAGCAGGATAGCAGTAAGGAATCCTCCTTCAGGAACAAAGCGAGAAAGGAAGTTTAGCAGAGATATTTCATCTATATTAAGAGAGTGTGAATTCCTGATTTTAGAAAGATAGAGTTTTAAATATAAGAAAGCCCATATTAATAAATATCAAAGGAGCAGGTTTTGAGTGGGGCAAACTTTTATGCCTCTTTCATGTGGATTGAGGAAAGAGGAGGATAGCATCTTTTTTCCACTGCCATAAGATTGGAGAAAATATATGCCATGTTGGAAACTCTCTCAAAATATTCTTTCCTGCTTTTACCGTCTCACTTCTTTTATATTGCTCACTGAAATGATGTATCAATGAATGCAGAACCAATTTGGGTCTGGTGTCTCTGCAGGATCACCTAGAATTTCACTTTAGAATATGGGAATTCTCAGAATTCATGGCTTGGCCTTTGGAATCTCTGGCTGAACTCTCATGTGAGATAAAATGTTGTCAACATCAAGTTCAATGCAGGCTTTTAGGGACATGTCTGACCCAGAACCCTCACAATATCATAATTAAAGGCATTGGTTGCATATTTTATCTACCTGAAAGATGAAGAGACAGGCTGAAAACAACCAGAAAGTAGTAGTGGCTGCATATTGAAATGGGCTCTGATTCACCCTCAAGCAGAGGTTCATCTGCCCAAGAAGTCTTGGGGCTGGCACCTCCATTTGGCTTGAAACCTCTGACTCATCCTGCTTAAGAGCACTGATTTTGGACTCTGGCACTTGTGAATTCAAATATGAGCTCTGTCTGCACATGGCTCTGGGGCTGTTAATAAATGGAGATTTATTTTATTCTGCTCACCATTTTCTTCACTGATAGATGAGACATATCTCATCTATAAACAACTTTAATAAAGTTTGATGGTACAAAATCAATACACAAAAACCAATATATCCATAATGTTTAAGCTGAGAGTCAAATCAAGAACACAATTCCATTTACAATAGCTCCCCAAAAATGAAATACCTAGAAATACAGCTAAGCAAGGAGGTGAAAGATCTCTACAAGGAGAACACTGCTGAAAGAAATCAGAGACAACACAAATCAATGGAAAAACATTGCATGCTCATGGAGTAGAAAAATCAATATTGTAGAAATGGCCATACTGTACAAATCAACTTACAAATTAAACATTATTCCTATCAAAGTATCAATATCATTTTTCTACAAAATGTGAGAAAAAATTCTAAAATTCATATGAAACCAAACAGGAGCCTATATAGCCAAAGCAATCCTAAGCAAAAAGAACAAAACCAAAGGAATCACACTAATAAGACTTCAAAGTAAACTATAGGCTACAGTAACAAAACCAATATGGTATTCATAGAAAAACAGAAACACAGACAGATGAACAGAATAGAGAAGCCAAAAATAAAGATGCACACCTAAAGCCTTCTGATCTGCAATAAAGATGACAAAAATAAGCAATGAGAAAAGGACTCCCTATTCAGTACTGGTAGTGTAACCCACAAGTCATGCAGAAGAATGAAACTGGACCCATACCATTCACCACATACAAAAATTAACTGGTAATGATTTATAGATTTAAATGTAAAACTTCAAACTATAAAAGCACTAGAAGAAAGTCAAATATCCTTCTCGACATCCACCTTGGCAAGAAGTTTTTGACAAAGTCCCCCAAAACAATTACAACTATGGAAAAAATTGACAATTGGAACCTAATTAAATGAAATAGCTTCTGTACTGCAAAAGAAACTGTGAACCAAGTAAGTAGACAACTTAAAGAATGGGAGAAAATATGAACACACTATGCATCCAACAATGGTTTAATACTCAGAATCTATAAGAACGTTAAATATATCATCAACAAGGAAATAACTAATAATGTCATGAAAAAAATGGGCAAAAAAACCAAACAGGCACTTCTCAAGAAAAGACAATGAACAAAAGCTGAGTAGCTTACCTGTTTGACAGCACTCTGCTCAGGTGTTCATACATCTGGCTGGGACAATGACGCACACTGCATGTGACTCCACTGGAAGATGATGGCTAAAAGCTTGGGCCCGATTTCTTCAGGACACCTCCCTATGCTCCTCTTCCACCAGCTGAGTTTCGTCTAGGATGTTGCACTGGAATACATTGTAGATGTCAGCAAAAAGATCCTTATGAGTTCTGCTGACATCCTTCTAGGAATCAAGAAACTCGTGGCTGGCCTTGAAGTACCGAAATAGGCACATGAAGAAATGCTGTGCCTGTGTGGTCAAACAGCTTTATCTGACTCTAAGAACACAGGCATCCCTAAGCATGTTGGGGGAAGAGCTCTCCCTTCAACCCCCGGAGTGTCCCCTTCCATCCTGAGACAAATCTCTTGTGGTAGCCTTGAGCCTGTGTTCCTTTTACCATCAGCCATCCCTGTCTCAGAGACCTACATTTTTCTTTCCATGTATCAGAGTAGTAACCAGGTAACAAAAAAAATTCACCACTTGGAAAGAAGCAAAACAGCAAATTTTGAAGAAATATATCAACACTAATGGGAGTGTGGATTCCTGACTTCAGATAGGGAGAAGATCACAGACCAAGGATGCCAATATCCATATATATCCCCCAGAGAAGTATCTCTCTCATGAATATGGAGAAAATACCAGCCATAAGGGCAACTTTCAAAAGAGCCTTTCCCCCTGTAGCCACCTCATCTTTTTTATTTTTCTCTGTTGAGCCATGGGCCAATGCTTGCAGAACCAATTTGGGTTGAGTGCCTCTGCAAGATCATCCAGTACTTCACTTTAGAATATGGGAGTTCTCGGCATGTGGTTTCGGTTTATTCAGTCTGCAGCCAAATTCTCATGAGAGCAAAAATACTGCTTTCAACATTCAGTTCAATGTAGGTTTTCAGGAATAGGTCTGACCCAGTCTAAGGCCATACCATCCTGGCTGCGCTTGATCACTTCTGATCTCAGAAGCTAATCTAGGTCGGGCCTGGTGAGTACTTAAATGCGAGGAATACATCTGACCCACAGCAGCCTTCCTTACACCAGTTTTAATTGAAGGCATGTTTGCATGTTATGTACTGCTTGAGAGGTGTGGAAAAAACAAAAAGCAGCAGTGGCTGCATACTGTTGTGGATGCCAATCCAACTTCAAGATGGGTTTAACTTACCCAGAAGGACATGGGGCTGGCATTTCTATCTGGCTCAAAACCTCCAACTCACCATGCTTAAGTTCACAGGTCTTGGAGTCCAGTTCTTCTGGGTTCCAATCTGAGCTCTGCCTCCAATTGGCCCTGAAGCCTCTGCAAAATTATTTTATTCTGCTCATCCTTTTTTGTTCTTTTGGTAGAGGAGACATATTTTGGTAACTTCCCCATGCAGTGAAGCTGAAATGAGTCGACAAATATACAGTCTCAGTACAACTCTTGCTACTCAATCTAGTGAGTTCTCACTGTTAGTTATAGTTACCAAAGGTCAGAATTAGTCTATAGTGCTCAAAGACAGAGAGCACTTATACTCCTTTAAATTTATGCAAATAAAAAAATGAAATCATGCTTTAAAAATGAGTATATAAATATAAATAAAATGGTCAGAGGAAAGAGAATATGTCACAAAATGTCATACTCATACAAGCAACAGGGACATAAATTGAAAACCTCTAAGAAATACAAATTCTCCTAGGTCCTATCCCCAGGGCCTATCTGGTAGACTTCAGTTACCTTAGATTTGTATCCTCTTTAACTTAAAAAAAAAAAAAACAAACTTTAATTTTAAAAAATTAACTTAATTAAAAAAAAAAACAACTTCTGAAACAGAGCACTCTTCTTATGGGCATGTTTAGACCTTTCCTCACTGAGTAGAGCAATCATTCTCAAAGGTTTATCCCAGAATCAGCAACACCTGGGTACTTAAAGAGATATACATTCTCTATCTGCTACCTGTACCTAATGAAAAAGATAAACAGGGTATGGTTGGGCCAACCCATTTGGATTTTAAGAAGTCCTGTAATTCATTCCTATGCATGCCAAAGTTTGAGAATCACTATTCTCTGAATCATGGGTTTTCAACATTGCCAACTAAAATTCTCTAATATGTCTTTTGACAGAACTGAAGCACAAATTTTACAAACCAGAGAGTTTGATATACTTAATGTAAGTAGTACATGGGCAACTGGTGTTTTAAAAATTCCCCTTGGGATTTATTGCGCCATAACTTTGAGAACTACTGCTCTAGGACTGTCCTGTCCAACTTTACCAAATGCAGTAGGAAAACATCTTGCCTTTCCATCCATGTCAGGAAAAAATTCCCCATTGATCTAAAACAGGTTGTGAACTAACCCCTACATAAAGCACTTTGGCCAGGGTTATGAAAATTTGACTAATGGAGTCACATTTTCCCCCCTGAAGTTTAGGAAAGTGTCAGTGCTTCTTTAACTTGGACTGAAATTTGGGGTTATTTATTTCTTAGAGGAATAAAAAAATGGAAACTTGATAGTGAGAAAAGCAAAATGCAGATACCTCAGAAGCCTGGATTGTCAAAGCCTGCACATGCTTCAGGACTGACCCTTGTCCAACTCCTACAAGGTATCTTCTAAGCCAGTGGAATATCCTGCTTGATAAGAGTGTCTTTGTTTACCAGATGCTCTGGGACACACCAGATAATTTATGCTAAATATGTGCTTCATGCTAAACATCTGCCTGGCACTTTAGGACATGTTGTATCATTCTGACCTCTGTGAGGGCTGAAACTGAGTAGCAAAGGTCAATGATCCAGACGTTCAATGGCTCTATGACCAAGGTTGGTAACACTTTGCATGTGCTGTGTCACGTATCAGTGCTGGAAGAATTAAACACTGTCCATATAACTCGACAGGGAGAGAACAGATGGAAGCTTCAGTGTGGGTTCTTTTGGACTCTCTCCCAATGTGCCTTTTCCCTTTGCTAATTTTAATGTATACTCTTTGCTGTAATAAACAGTAATTATGAGTATAATAGCTTTTGCTTTATTGTTATTTTTTATTTTTAGACATGGGTCTTGCTCTGTCACTTAGGCTGGAGTGCAGTAGCATGATCATAGTTCACTGCAGCCTCAAACTCCTGGGCTCCAGGAATCCTCTCACTTCAGCTTCCCAAGTAGCTAGGACTATAGGTGCAATCTATCATGCCCGCCTATAATAGCTTTTCTGGGTTCTGTGAATTCTTCTAACAAATCACCTATCCTGAGAGAGGTCTTGGGGAACTCTCTCCAGTGTGTGAACACACATTTTGACATCATTTCACATAACATGAGAATTACTTAAAATCTCCAGATCATTGCCTGAAATCCAGAACTTCTGCAGAGGTATCCTCAACCTCATGTTCCTGACTTAAATATGCCATAATAGTTCAGAAAAATAACATTGCAATTTCCACAGATTAGGGCTATAGCAAAGAATCAACCTTCTGAAGTAAAGCAAGGCATCAGATTTTGAAGATATTTTTGACTAATGGAGTTTTATATATCAAGAAAGCCAATATTGATCAATTCATTGAGTAATTGAACAACTGCACTCCTTTTGATCTGCTTGGTTTATGCAGCCCAAGTACAACTGGGGATGGATTATCTTCAGTTAAGCCTCCTAAATTCAGGTCTCAGGAAGCGTAATTCCCCAAGGGGAAAATGAAATGCAAATTTTCAACACAATGTCATAACCAACCAAAATCCCAAGTGGGATAATACTTACTTGGCTGTTTTGTTACTCAAGTATCCTTACCTGACTACTCAAATTTGGAGGCTCCAGGAAAGTCAGTATCTCTTCATTCTATCATTCAATGGAAACTTGTTTGTGCAGAAAAACAAAACACACCTTTGACAGCTTCAGTCCTTTCTGCATTGAGAAATTCCTGTTTGTTCTTCATGCTTAGGGAAAAATTCAAGAAATATTTTCAGACCATTTTAATGGAATATAGCATATAGGCTAAAAGTATAGTCTCTGGACCCATATTATCTGGATTCCAATGCTACATGCACTAATTACTACTTGTGTTAATTTGGGTATGTTTCTTCCCTTCTCCAAGCCTTATTTTCTTCATCTGGAAAATGAAAATCATAGTGTTCATCCTTACGGTGTTTTTGAGTACTATTGAATCAACCCAGATAAAGCACTTAGTACCCAGAAAATAATAACCATTCAATAAATGTTAAAAATTGTTGTCATTATCATTATCATTAGTCAATCTTCATCTTAAGATCAGTAGCACTTTTAATGATTTTGCTCCCGTAACTGCTATGACACGCCTTCTAAAGGTCATTATACTTTTAGCTGCCCTTCCTTGGTCTCATTTTCACCATCAATCTCCTTTACTGGGTCAGTAAATGGTTAAATACACCATGCGTCAATCCCAGGACACCAATTTCTTCTCATGTTCTTCACAGTTGTCTTGAGAAGTCTGGTTTATTTCCATGCTTTCAATTGGCAATTTACATATTGGTAACTCCCAAAATGTATCTCCCTGTCACAGACCCCTATTCTGAACTCCACATCTCAATATCCAATGGGATTCTTGCCATCTTCACCCAGTTGAATAAAAGGTATTCCAAAATCATATGAATCATATGTAAAGGCCAAATTGAGATTTTTTATATCTCAGCTCTGTTTTTCTCATACTCACTGCTATTTTCATGACTGGTGGTCACCAAGCCATTTTGTTATGCAAGCCAAAATCTAGGGGTCAAGATTAATATGCTCTCTCACCAATTGTATCCAATCCATTACAAGTCCCTATATAATTCTCATATATTACCATATGTTAGCATCTCAACTGTAAAGACACCAATGGTAAAGTATATACCATACAACCTTGCTCCTGCAAGATCGATAAACATTAAACTTTGAAAATCTCACATTCTAAGAATTACTAAGCCTGATTGCTGTCAGTTACCCAAATTACTATGCTACAGGCATTCATATAGCAGTTAATGTTAGTTCCTAAACAAAATTGATAATTATGTTGTTATAGACATTTGGTTTTTAATAAAAATTATACATGAGCTATAAAAACATAACAAGATTACATGTCACTAAGAACTGATTTGGTTTCCACTAATGAACTATAAGCAGTTACAACTAGATTTTGCGACTTCTTTAGTCACTTCTTTTAATGCATGATCACTCCAGTTAATTATTGAGTTGACTTCATTTACATTTTCATTGCCTGTCAAAATGAGTATCAACTGTGTGTCTCAATAATTCAATAAATAAAGCACATGACAAAGTTGAGTTTGGATTTTAAGTATGGATTTTATTTAAAAATTAAATAAAACTAATAATTTCATTTCAAACATTAAATTAGCTAAACACTAAATTAAATTATTTAATCTTGGGATAGTAAGGATATCTTGAAGGCACATTGATTTGTAGCTACACTGAGAAAAAAATGTAATATATGAAGCAAATTTAACTGAAATTTATGTTCAAATGACATAATATTTTAGAATTATTCTAATACAACAGAAAATTTTTAATATCTGATATCACATTTGTTATTCTAATAGTTTAGAAGGCCAGGATTAGATAGTTCAATTAACTCCTTCAAAGGATATTAACATCTTCCATTAAATAAAGGAAGTACAAAGAAAAATATTAATTTGACATAAAACATTGTAGCACAAAGGTAGAAATGGCTTAGTGGATGAACTTTCTGATCACTGGTTAAATTCACATTATCTAGACCATTCTGAATCTGGTGGTTTCAAATATTAGATCTTAGAATCTCAATGGAACTACTAATATCCAGTCTATCTGCTTAACTAGGAAAATAATTGGTAACTTTTCTAAAGCATGGCACCACTTCTACCAATGCCTTTTAAACAATACTTTATGGGTCCCAAATTACCAAAAAAAAATCTATATTCTGGCATCTGGTTCCAATTGTCTTTCCAAAATTATTTCCTACTTTTTTTTTCTCACACACTTTATGTTCCAGACAAAAAATTACCAAGTATTCCCTGAACATATACAGAGTATTCACACAATAACTTTGTCTCTATTCTTCAGTAATGTCATTTCATTAATCTCAAATCTAACTCATCTGTCAAGGTGTAGTTCAGATATCATGTCAACCGTAAAGTCACACCAGACTGCCACATATGACAGTAATTTCTCCCTCCTCTAATGTTCCATCATACCCAGTGACTTATTTAGGTACTCACCACACTCTAATATGCATTAAAAGTATTTATGCAGATATCTTACAATTTGAAGTATTCTTTAAGCAGAACCATTTTGAGTTATCAATTTTTTTCCCTTTTAACACTGTTTCACTCACTGAGTGGTGAGGAATAATTGCCTCAGTGACAGAGAAAAGGGCAACATTTAAGTTAACTTCAACTATCACTCACTGATTTCATTTCATTTCATTTATTTAGAGACAAGTCTCGCTGTGTCACCCAGGCTGGAGTGCATTGTTGTAATCTTTGCTCACTGCAGCCTCCACCTCCTGGGTTCAAGCAATTCTACTGCCTCAGCCTCTCAAGTAGCTAGGACTACATGTATGTGCCACCATGACTGGGTAATTTTTGTATTTTTAGTAGAAACAGGGTTGCACCATGTTGGCCAGGCTGGTCTTGAACTCCTAACCTCAAGTGATCTGCCCACTTTGGTGTCCCAATGCCCTGGGATTAAAGCGTGAGCCACTATGCCCAACCACTAATTTCATTTTAATAAATGTAAATGTTTCTTTGCTAAAGATAAAATTTAACTCTTACATTATATTTAGATTACATTTAGAAATCATCATGCATCAGATTCAGAATGGTAAAACAGTTAGGAGCCATAATATAATTGCCAAAACAATAACTTAGTTTTTTAATACTTATTCTTAAAAGACCATTGAAAGAGATACAATCATAATGACCTCAGTAAAGGAGTAATGTATTTAGATTATTATCTGATCTTAGCAAGTACAATATTTCAGTCATTAACATATTTACAGAAAAATCTATATTGTTAAAGTTGTACCTTTTTTTCCTATGGAAGAAGGCCTAGTACAAAAATGAGGAATAGAAAATTTTTCCAAAAAGTGGTGTTTCCCTGCCCTTTCCTACCCCTGCTGATCAATTTGTTTCACAAATATCTATTTTGAAATGTGTGCCGTTTTGTCCCAATAAGATTACCTTCTCATTAACCAAAATGACGCCAAATGCATGAGGAAGAATAAAGATCAAAGCAATCATAATATAATTTTGGAAACTAAGATTTCTAGCAATCTTGGCTAACAAATACTAAATTTATTATCTATTACAAAGAGAAGTATCATAATAATACATAGATAGACTAATAAAATGGATGAGTTAGCCCAGAAATAAACCCTAGTAATTATACAGTTTTAAGATATGTGTAAAATCCTCAATTCAGTAGGCAGATATATTATTTATTAAACAATACTAGGATCAATAGTTGACTATAGGAAACAACATTATCTACTTTTAAAATAACCAAAATACATACTTTGATTTAAAGAGATAGTTAAAAACATAAATATGACTGATTGTCATATTGTAGATATTTGAGCAACAGATGAGAAAACTATACAAGTATAAATGCACTGAAACAAATTTGGTTTCTTAAAAATTCTAAGTTCACTTTAAATCTTAGAGAATGCCATTGTGCAAACTACAAGGATAAAGACAAATAAAGTGACTTGGTCCATGATGCAAAGAAAGCATGATAATAAAATCTACAGAAGGATAACCTTTTAAAATGTATACTTAAGGTTAAAATGCCCTTCTGCTTAATAATGTTTTTAAAAAACCAAGTAAACTCAAAGGAAATGTGAGAGATTTTCTTATAACTGCTATAGCCAAGACTTAGACTTGGGAATGACATAGAAAGAATATTGCTAGAATGATTAAAATAGGGGGAAAGGCAAAAAGATGTTTCTCTGCTCTGGGAAGAGGACCTTGATCATACTACATTGGCTGATGATTTTGACATTTTCTCAGGATTATGAGACAAGATAATTATCTTCGTTTTGTCAGTTAAAATTAGTTGAGACTAGTAGAAATTTAATTACTTCCTCAACAACTCTTTAAACCTCAATCCTAGGTTTGGACCCTTTTATTGCGATTGCAGGTGCTGAGGCTCAGAAAACAATACCCCCAAATGAAAGCTTCAGAAGCAGCCTGAGAAGCAAAAGCTTTCCTATGACCTTGTCCTGTCCTCATGTCTCTCAGTCCCCTTCTCCCCCAAGGCTAGCCATAGAACCTAGAATCCCTCTTCCTCAAGACAGGTCATAGAAACCAGACCCCCTTTTCCCCAAAGCTAGTCACAAAATCTAAAAATATTACTCTAATTTCCCTCCACCTTTCTGTGTAAAAACTGGCTATAAATAAATTTTCTGACCTATATATTTTTATAGTAGGTCAAAAGACCTACATTTCAGAAAGGGTCTGCCCCTTACCCAGAAAGAAAAAAATGCATGCTCAGAGAGGCCAAGATGAATCTAGACAGTCCTTGCTGGATTTTCCCACTAGTCTATTGGCATTAGATCATACACTTTTTGTCTAATCATATTTCAACACAGCTGTCTATACTTTGTTGAATCTAAGCATAACAATGAATAATTTCCTCTGTATCTTTGAGTTGTCATTCTGAAGGCTCCCATGCATACATGTTAAGTACATTTGTATGTCTTTTCTCCAATTCATCTGCCTTTTGCAATTTGACTTTTTCAGTGAACCGTCAGAGTGCCAAGCCTTTGGCCCCTACACAGGTAAGTATTATTTCCAGTAAACCAGCAACTCTGCGTGGCTTAGGTAATCCATAGAAAAATAAACTGTAGCAAGTTTATAAAATAGAAAATAAACTACAAATACGATTACAAAATGCTATACCAGTATTCATAATTGGTCTTTTTGTGCATTCAAAACAAGCAG